ATCCATATTCTATGAATTCATAGAATTACATGTTTAGGCTTTATTGAATTATGCCTAATAGTTATGAATATGCCCATTAAATTTCTTACAAATCTTACCACATAATTATAATTATTGTCCCATGGGAGGGACCAGGGAATATACATCACTCAACGTCGACAAAGAACAAAGTGTAAATGCAAACAACTTAAAAACCTATGAGGGCGTTGTTGATATCCGAGTTGAACACGCATGAAAACTCCGGTTCAAAGATGAGGAGCAGAAGAGGTCAACCCAACCGCCGCGGCCGGACATCGAGCCACTTCGGAAATGCCGATCAGACCAAAGACCAAAGTCAACAAGGGCGATGAGCTATGTCATTCCTGAAGTCGGCACCTCGACCTCTTCACTACGATACGACCTGGTTAGGTGCCGAATAGAGTAATAGGAACCAGAAGACCGGAGAATGAACTAATTTCCGAAGTCCGACCTAGGAACCTCATCAAGTCGGCCTTCACGGGAGTCGAGGACCTGGGAAACAATATTATAACTTGTCAATCAATGATTGCCGATGGGATGTCTCAGACTACTCTGCAAACCTAGAACGCCTAGCCCTGCCTAAAGACATGTTCGCATTTAAATGCTCTGCAGGTAATGATTGGAAAACCCACAAATTACTCCTAATCAGTCAGAAAGACGTCGACCTGTCTCTCAGAGCCACTATACGATAAGACCGCGTGAACAATGGAGGAACAATGCCGCATTCAATACTACTATAAATAGAAGACCCCCTCATTTATTTTGGGGTTGTTGAATCTCAACCAACTCTGCTTTCTTTCTACTTTCTCTCTCTACAAGCTGTAACAAAATCCTGTAATAATTCCAACTGTAACAAAAGTGCCGACCTCATTCACAGAAGCCGACCTCGTAATTATGTAACCGTTGATTGGATCGTCCATCAACAGGCGTAATCAGCATAAATGTCACACAAACAATGGAAAATGTAAATAATTTCTGAACCATCCACGAGAATGTCACACAAACACACACTGTACTGGAACATGTAAATAATCTCTATGCCATCCACGAGAACAATTGATGTAGTCAAGAAAACTGTTGACATCAAATTTTGTTACAAGTGGCTATATATTAATAAATATAACATATAAAATAGCGGTTCTTTTTATCTGATTTATTAATATTAAATAAGTCCTCAAAAAGTCAAGATTGTCCGTATTCGTGCCAAGCAGAATTCAACGTTATCAGACCGACCCGGATATTATAAAGAAGTCGCCTCAACAGATACAATAATTGCCGACAAGACAAATATCAGTCAAAGTCATTATTTATTCCATTATTTATTTATTATTGTTGGGCTCTGCGCGGTCACGTTGGATTTATTACCTGTCTTTGTAAAAATATTGTAAAAGCCCAACATATAAGGGCCCATTAGACGCTAAAGCCCGTTAGATGTAAAAAGCCCGGAAAATGTATGTGTGAACGGACTTAAGAGACTTTACTTTTTTCCTTTTTCCTTTAGATAAATACGAGGGCGGTGCTGTACAAAGGGGGACCCCTTTTCTCCTTCAAGGAAAAAGATCTAATTTCTTGAGATGATTACACACAAAATTCCCTCAAATTCATCACAAAAATCCAATACAACTAAATATACAAAAATTCCTCTAAACTCCCCATGTTGTTACAAATTCATACGACAACAAAAACATAAATCAAGAAGACGAGATTATTTGACAAACAATTGATGAAAGACCTGGAGTTGAAAAAAAAACATGGAATATCCAAATAA